TAACATTTTCTACAAATCAATTTTATGGATATATTGGTTGAGTTTTTTCATAAAATATATATGTGACATTTTTTTTTTTTTACCTCAATGGTGATCAACAAATTTTTATAATCACAAGTTATGCGGGCAACATTTCATGTATAAATCGTTTTATTACAAATTTATAATTATCTAATTAAAATAAAAAAAATTATGTAAACGCTTTGATTATTATTATTATTATTATTATTATTACTCTTTTAAAAAAAAATTATTATTAGTCACTCCATTACTTGGTTCAATGTTTTGCATTTGAAACTGTATTAAGATTCCATTTATTAGTATATAAAAAAAATGATTTTCCACATATTGGCCACGCTATTACCTAGTCCTAATTGCAAGGATAATTGGAAGGAAATTTCTCCTATAAATCATTTTGTTGAATTTTGAGTCTGACAGATTATTACCTTTCAGTTACGGCAGTATACTTACGGCCTAATATTTGGTGGGTAATTTAATACGTTTACTTTTATCAATTGCCCCGTCTTTTGCATGTGTTTCTTTTTATTTGAAAGCAGATGGGCAATGTAAACCCCACCTCAGAAAACTTGCTTGAAAAAGCTTGATCTGCATGTCAACTCTATTTAATAAATAAAGTAAAAGTATCTTAAAATGGCCTAAACTTGAATAGATTCGATGATTTGTATCATCGTATCATATAAAATATTATATTTATATAATATTTTATATAAAAATTATGTGTTATAATTTATATTAATATAAAATTATTGTAGACACCTAATTGGATCTAGGCTCAGATCAATTGGGTCTGGCCCAAATGGGTATAGCTAAATTCAATTTTTTACCTTGTATTTTTTTCCTCTTTTTTTTTTTTGTATTTTATGTATTTTATTATTTATTATTATTATTATTATGTATATCTTTATTTTTTTTCTATTAATATTTATATGTAATTTATTTATATAGTTATATATTTATTATTATATTATAATTTATTTTTTTTCTGGTAATATTTTTGGATTTATTTTATTTTTTAATTATCTGTTAATTTTATTTTATTCATTTATCTGATTTTTTTTATTTATCCGATTATTATTATTATTATTTTTTTCCTTTTTTTAAGGGCTGGGATTGAAAGTTGAAGAATCCCACTGTGAATGGGAATTCAATTAGAGGAGTCCAGTTGGATTCAAAGATTGAATTCCCGTCCAAGGAGGAATTGGGATTGATCAGGAACTCCTGATCAATTCCTATAAAAGGGACCTATGGAACAGAATGAAGAACACACAGAAAACAGTAAACAAAAGCTACTGATTGTGAGAATAGGGGCGTATAGAGAGCTCAGAAAAGGTTTATGAGTGTTCTGGGAGTGAGAAAAAAAATTTTGAAGCTTTTTGACGATTTTTTTTTTGGGAATTTTTGAAAATTCCAGATTCCGGTGAAGTTTCTGGCAAAGTTTGAATTTTTCGATGAAAATTCCGGCCAACCTTAAAGTTTTTGACGACCTGCCCAGTTTTCGGCAAAGAATCCCAGAATCGGTGACCTTCCGGTGAACTTCCGATAAAAAAACCTAGATTTTGGTGACAAAACCCAGAATCCAGTGAATCTTCAACTGAAGTTCTTCGACCTTTTAGAGAGAAGGGAGTGGAAAAAAGAAGAAGAGAGAGAGGGGAGGAGCGTTCTGTCGAAAAACAGAGAGAAGTACCTTTTATACCCTCTCAAAATGATGTCGTTTTGGCCTTAAGTGACCCAGAAGATCCGCGCGTTTTGCCGTGACCCGACCCGACTCGACCCGAGCGTCGATCCGCTTCTTGACCCGCGCGTGCCAGTTCCCCTCCGAGCCGAGCCGAGCTTCCCAAGCCGCCCCCCGAGCCGTCTCTCTTCCTTGAGTCGAGCCGCGATCCGAGCCGCTCCAGGTTTTTTTTTTTTTAAATTTTTTTTGTTTATTTGTTTTTTTTATTTATTAGATTAGGTTTATTTAATATTCTTTTTATCTTAATTTTATTTTTATTTTTGTTTTACTTTTCTTTATTTTTCTATTTTTATTATTCTATTTTCTTTAAATAAAAATCAAAATTTCCAAAAAAAAAATATTTTTGGGGAAAAGTTGAAAGTATCAATTTTCCTTAAAAATAAATTTCAAAAAAAATATTTTTTGAGAAAAGTTGAAAGTATCAATTTTTCCTACAAAAAAAAATCATTCTTTCCTTCCTTTCTATTTTGATTTTTATTTTGGTTTTTCTTTAACTGATCCGACGACGGAGCTTTTGCAAGTGAAACAGTAGTTTTTTCTTGCATACTCTTGAGGTGAGGAAATTTTCATAATTTTCTGCTAAAAGTATTAGAGTCAATTGAAAAAAATTTCCAATAATTAATTACTTGGTAAAATTTTAAGGCTCATTGGATAACATAAATTTCAGTTGGTACCATCTTTTGATGGGCGTTGTGAGGGTGCTATAACCTTCCTCACACGTAACCGAACTCTCGAACCCTGTTTTGGTTAGTAGACCTGAACCTATTCTTTTAGAGACCCTTAATTTTAGGTGTTCCCTGACGGGACAGATTCCTTAGGTGACCAATCACACTTAGACAAAAAAGGATTAGTGGCGACTCCCTGAAAGTCAATGTCTAGTGATAGATCCCCGGATCTAGACGTTATGACAGCTTGGCGACTCCACTGGAGACTCTGAGAGTCAGGCCAGCAAATAATTTATGTTATCCAAAAGCCTAATAAAATTGAACCTGTTTGTATATATGTGTTATTGTTCATTCATGTTTATTTACTTTGTTAATTATGTCATTCATATGCATGTGCATAACATGAGCTCTACACCCGAGCTCCGTCCCTCTAGGAGGGAGTAAAGTACCTATTGCTTTCGTGAGGTCTCATGCCTCCGCAGTGGCTAGCAAAATACTCTCACTCAAATTGAACCTTTTTCGCTTGTAGCCTGTAATGGGTGAGGATTAAGGTACCTTACTAGTCTGTGATGGACAAAGATGTAAGGAACAATTTGAGGACCTTTAGATTTTGACCTTAAAACCACATATAATGAACCTTAAGAGTGCCTAACCCATAGATAGAGCCATCACTCTTCCCTGATAGAATTAACCAAAAGCATATGATTCATCCCTTTTACTTCGTGTGATGTTTAAATTTACTTAGTCATTTATTCTTTTTCTGGGTATACTAACCTTTTTTTTCTTTTGTATTGGTTCATACGCATATCATAAAGTTGCATAAAGAACATTTGCCTGAAAAATGGTCTTCAATAAATTTTTTTCATGGACACCAATGAACGCTTAGTCTGTTCTTCATCAGTATTAGCACCTAGTGGGACACCCAATGAAGTAAGGGCCCAGTCAGAAAAGACTCAACTGAAGATGAGAGATTGCTTGCCAATTGGGTATGAGTCTACTCTGTCTCAAGAAACATCTCGAAGATTTACATCCGTAATCGTTTTCCAATCAAAGAATTCTGTGAAAGTGGATGGTCAAAGTGAAAGCCTAAACAAGAATGGATAACTTTCTTACAAAAATTAGAAAGTGCCAGGGTGAGATGGTTGGCCCCATGGATGAATCGTGAGCCTATGTTATACCAATGTGGGGATAGTACAATGGTTTCGCTTCTGGGTTTATGGGGAGTGAAGAATTATGCACCACTCCTAGTGAGAAGGCAATTGGGGGGAGAACAGTTCATTCCTATGACTTATGAGCTTTATCAGTTAGATTTCTCTTACAGTGAGCTTAAAGCATTTCAGAGGATGAATGAAATGATCAAAGCATGGAAAAATCCCCAAAGAGTGAGTCCAAGACCATTCATTGAAAAAGTCACCCCAAGTTACTTAGTTTGGAGAACAAAGAGAAGACAAGAAATGGTATTCACTTATGAAATCTCTCAACCACCAACAGAAGAAAAACTTGAAGAGACACCATCAGAGTTAGAATTGGCAACAAAAGAATTTGAGTTTGAGAAGATCAAGTTAAAGAAAAAGATTCAAGAACTTCAAGAAGAAAAAGCCCAGTGGAAAGGTAGAGCCGAAAGTTATGAAGTTAAAGTTCACAAGATTGCTAGAGAATGAGATACAGCTACTGAAGATCTAGCAAAGTTACACTAGGAGTATAAGAGGCTATGTGTGAGAGAAAGAGCCAAAGAGATAACCATTGCCGAGCTGACTGAGGAAAATACAAGACTGAAACAAGAGTATGTCGAGTTGGAAGAAGAAAGTACTGAAGCACAGGCAGAAATTAACATGCTAAATAATTATTTGAATGGGCTAAGTCAAAGGTTGGAAGAACAAGGAGACCACATCGCTGCATTGGTTAGAGAACATAGAGAATTATCATACCAAGTCTGGTGTGGTAAAAGAGAGAACCTAGGAAGGCAGAAATACATTGAGCACTTAACAACCCAAATTCATAAAGGGGTACGTAAGGCAAGAGAGATGGTGAAAGAGGCAGAGGCATTAAGACAAGTGGTGGCCCTAGTAGGAGAACATGGACAACGTCTCTTGAACTTCATAGAAGAAGCCAAGGCCCAGTATGAACAGATCAAGCAATTTTATGGTTATAATTATAAGATGATAAACTCAATGTAGATCAAAGTTTTTTGGAATAAATGAAATTTTTTAGTTGAATACCATTTTAAGGCAAATGTTCTTTGCATACATGTATTTTTCATTCATTGCATTCTCATTCATTACACTTAACATGTGATGATCATGCAAATTTACTAATTCTGAGATATGGTACTTAAGGTTCCAAGATAGCTCCATCTAGCGAAAACCCTACCCATCAATTCAACACAAGATCCAGAGCAAGGCAAATGAAGCAAGAAAATTCCCTTAGATTTGAAAAGATAGAGAAAGCACAAGAGAAGATTGAAAGTGAGCTAAGCAAGATTCTGGAAGCCCTTAATAACATGAATAAAGGAAAAAGAGTTAAAGGAAGTACAAGCCAGCAAGAAGTGACTAACCTTTTGTACCCTCCAGGTTTTGGCCCACCTCAGGCCCAGTCTGCCCAAAAAGTCCCATCACAACACTTCGCATATCCAACATATCCTGAAATGCCATTAACTTTCAACCCAGGGTAGTATAATAGCTATATAAATCCTGTCTTCACTGAAAAGGTAGCAGAACAAATTCCTGATCTAGATAATTTAAAAGAGAAGAAAAAGGAAAATATGAGGGTGAAAGCTGAGGAAAGTTCCAAGATTAGCATGCTAGAGCAAAGGCTAAGGGCTGTGGAAGGATTTAGCTTTAATGGGTCAGTTGATGCTGCTGGGCTCTGCCTAGTTCTTGATATGGTTATCCCCCATAAGTTCAAGGTACCAAAATTTGAAAAATATGATGGTACAAAATGCCCCAAAACCCATATCACCATGTATTGCAGGAAGATGACAGCTCATGCACATGATGAAAAGCTATTGTTGCATGTTTTCCAAGACAGTCTTACTGGTTCTGCGGTCAGATGGTATGTTCAGCTGGACAAGACTCACATTCGCTTTTGGAGCGATATGGCGCATGATTTTATCAGTCAATATCGACATATCATCGATTTGGCCCCTGATCATTTATCTTTGCAGAATCTGGAGAAAAAGTCAAACAAATCTTTTAAAGAGTATACCCAGAGGTGAAGGGATGTTGCTTCTCAGGTACAACCTCCCCTAACCGAAAAAAAAACTACAGTCTATTTGTCAGCACTTTAAAACCTCCCTATTATGAAAAGATGATAAGAAATGCAACAAAAAATTTTGTTGATATGGTAATTTTAGGAGAAATCATTGAGAGCGCCATTAAGAATGGTAAGCTAGAAGGGAATGAAGCATCTAGCAAAAGAATCCTGAAGAAAAAAGAAACTGAAGCTCAGGCTGTGAGCTTTGATAGACAGCAGCTTAGAGGTTATTCACCCTACCCCCCACCAGAATATCTGCCATATCACCCCACTGTAAATAACACTTCTTTTCACCCATACCAACCATTTACACAACCACCATACCTCCAAACCTATCAAATCTCTCATAGACCCCAAAACACCATATACAGTCCTAACATTCAACCTACTCTAAGACCATAAAATCGCCCAACTAACCCTGCTGGTGGCTCGCGGGAACAACGAATCACTCGTGAGAAACCTATTTTTGACCCTATTCCCATGACTTATACGAAATTATACAAGGAGCTCTACAACAATCATTTGATTGCTCCAAGTAAATTGGAACCCCTCAAGCCACCTTACCCCAAGTGGTATGATCCCACCGCCTACTGTGACTATCATTATGGGATTGCTGGTCACTCTATCGAAAATTACACTACCCTAAAACATAAAGTGCAACGGTTGATCAAGGATGGAATGATTTACTTTGACACTGGAGGGATAACTGCGCCAAATGTTAGTGGTAATCCTTTGCCAAATCATAATGTGAATGCTATAGGTAAAGAACAGGAGTGCCAGGTGAAGACGAAAGTGGCAGATATTAAGACACCTCTCGACCAACTGTTTGATACTTTACGAAGAGCAGACATGATACAACGGGTAAGTTCACACAGCTATCAAGGAATATATATAATTGGCACCAGTTGTAAGTATCATAGTGGGACAATAGGCCATTCCATTGAAACCTATGAGCAGTTTCACCAAGAGGCACAAAAACTCTTGGATTCACATCAGATAGAGGTCTATGAAGAAAAAGAAGACTTGAAGAATGTTGAGGTGCACATGACTGATAGGCCTGAAAAGCTGTTTCCCAAACCAGTGACAATTCAGTGTGGGAACAAACCAAAGTCAGTCATAGACAAACTCTTCCCCAGGCCAGTAACTTTTAAAGTCCAAACTTCTTTCCCATATAAAGATGATAAAACGGTACCCTAGAGATATGGTTGTGACACTGTAGTTCAGGGATAGAAAAAAGAGGTCTCCAAGGCCAATGCTTCCAATATTACTGGTGTAGGAGGCATTACTCGAAGTGGGAGATGTTACACCCCAGAAATGCTAGAGAAGGCTAGAAGGGAAAAGGTTAAAGAAGGAGAAAGATGAAATAATCCAAAGACAGAGCCTGAAGAGGATCAGCCAAAATTGATATCAGAAAGGAAGGTTTATGAATTTTTGAAGCTGGTAAAACATAGTGAGTATTCTGTTGTGGAACAATTGAATAAAATGCCAGCTCGAATCTCATTATTATCACTATTGCTAAACTCAGAGCCACACCAAAATACCTTGCTGAAAGTGTTGAATCAGGCATACGTGGCACATAATGTGTCTGTCGAATATGTGAACCACTTGGCTGGAAATCTAGTTATGTCAAATCACATTTCATTCAGTGATGATGAGATTCCTTTGAAGGGAAAAAGAAACGCCAAGGCTCTGCATATCACAGTCAAGTGCAAGAGCCATATCATAGCCAAAGTCCTTATCGATAATGGTTCTGCTATCAATGTCATGCCTATGTCAACTTTGGCAAGGTTACCCATTGATTACTCTCATATGAAGGACGGTTAGATGATTGTGAGAGCCTTTAATGAAACTAGAAAAGAAGTCTTGGGCGATATTGAGATGCCCTTACAAATTGGGCCATGCACCTTCAATATAAAATTTCAAGTGATGGATATCTCTCCATCCTACAGCTGTCTGTTAAAAAGACCATGGATTCACATAGCAGGAGCTGTGCCCTCTACTTTACATCAGAAGATCAAGTTCAATGCGGAAGGTCAATTAGTAGTGGTAGTTAGGGAAAAAGATATGCTAGTGAGTCAACCGTTGAACACTCCATATGTAGAGGCTACCGAAGAAGCATTGGAATGCTCCTATCGATCTTTTAAGTTGGTCAATTCTGTAGGAGAAGGATCCCAAAGTCAGCCTTTTTCAAAGATAGTGGTGAGCCAAGTCATCAACAAAGGCTGGTGTCCAGGACTTGGGCTAGGTAAAAATTTACAAGGAATTAAAGAACTTCCAACAATAGTAGACAATAATGACAGGGCAGGCCTAGGCTATGAGATGGCAGAGTGGGAAGTCAAAAGAAGGCCATCAAGAAAGACAACAAGACTGATGTTTATCCCACATTTGTATGAAACCTTCAGACCTGGAGGATTCATGAACCCAGATGTAAGGAAAAGTGTGGAAGACGATTTTGTCCAGTTAGCCATTAATGCTGTTGAAGACGAAGTGAGGGTTAATCAAGAGGAGTGGGTTCGCCTTTGTCCACTAGATTATGAGCTGAACAATTGGAGTGCCATCAAAATGCCTTTGACTTTTGATTTTGACACAATGTAATTGTAACATCTCAATAGCTTTTGCCCAAGGCTATGGGGTGATTTTTTTTGTTTGGGCCATTCATCATTCATTATTTTTAAGAAAAAATAGAGAGGATGCATTTTCATTCATTTCTTCTTGTGTCTTCATTATTTTCATCTCTCCAAGCACATCTTGCCAACATATCCCATTTCATTCAATTACAGGTCTTTAAATGAACATGAGGATAATCATGATAACAATCAAGAGGTTAGCTTTGAGAATTCAATTAACACTGATGAGCTTGACAATGAAGAAAATTTTGAAGAATATGTTATGCCTCCGGACCTAATGAGGATGATTGAACAAGAGAATAAGCCAATTGAGCCTCATCAGGAGGTAGTGCACTTAGTGAATTTGGGAAATGAAGAAAATAAGAAAGATGTCAGAATGGGCGCTTCATTTTCATCTGAAGATAGGCAACGATTGGTAGAACTACTTCGAGAATTTATAGATATATTTACTTGGTCTTATCAGGATATGCCAGGGCTGAGCACAGAGATAGTGGAGCACAGATTGCCCCTAAAGCCAGAATGTAAGCCAGTTTAACAAAAATTGAGACGGATGAAGCCCGAAATGCTACTAAAGATTAAAGAGGAGGTGAAGAAACAATTTGATGCAGGCTTTCTACAAGTGGTTAAGTATCCAGAATGGGTAGCCAATATAGTCCCAGTTCCTAAGAAAGATGGATGAGTACGAATGTGTGTGGACTATCAAGACTTGAAGAAGGCTAGCCCAAAGGATAACTTTTTTTTGCCTCATATCGACACATTGGTAGATAACACGGCTAAGCATTCGATTTTCTCTTTTATGGATGGTTTTTCAGGGTATAATCAGATAAAGATGGCTGCAGATGATATGGAAAAGACTACTTTTGTGACCATGTGGAGAACCTTCTGTTATAAAGTCATACTTTTTTTGGTTGAAAAATGCTGGGGCAATATATCAAAGAGCCATGGTAACACTCTTCCATGACATGATGCACAAAGGGATTGAGGTGTATGTAGATGATATGATTGTAAAGTCTTATGAGAATGAAGATCATGTCACCAGCCTTAAAAAGTTATTTGAGAGGTTGAGAAAATTTCAGCTCAAATTAAATCCAGCCAAGTGTACCTTTGGGGTAAAGTCAGGCAAGTTGCTAGGCTTTGTGGTCAGTGAAAAAGGAATTGAAGTTGATCCCGACAAGATACGGGCCATCCAGAATTTGTCACCTCCTAACACATCAAAAGAAGTTCGAGGTTTTCTGGAGAGATTGAACTATATTTCTCGGTTCATCTCTCAACTGACCTACAAATGTGATCCCATCTTTAAGCTTCTCCGTAAAGATAATCCTGGGAAATGAAATGAAGAATGTCAAGAGGCGTTTGATAAAATTAAGCAATATTTATCGAACCCTCCAGTATTGGTGCCACCTATTCCAAGAAAATCTTTAATCCTATACTTAACTGTATGTGAAAATTCAATGGGATGTGTGCTGGGGCAGCAAGACGAGGCTAGTCGAAAGGAGAGAGCTATTTACTATCTGAGTAAAAAGTTCACAGAATATGAATTCAAGTATTCTTCACTGGAGAAAATGTGTTGCGCATTAGTGTGGACTGCCAAAAGACTTAGACAGTATATGCTTTATCATACTACGTGGCTCATAGCGAAACTGGATCCCATTAAGTATATCTTCGAGAAGCTTTCTTTGTCCGGAAGAATCGCTAGATGGCAAGTAATGCTCTCGAAATACGATATTATATACGTGAGCCAGAAAACAATAAAATGGGGCGCTATAGCAGAATTTCTTACAGATTGCGCTACTGAAGAGTATGAACCGATGAAGCTAGAATTTTCTGATGAAAACTTAATGACTATTTCCTAAATAGAGGAAGGAGAGTATATAGAAAAATGTTGGAGAATGTACTTCGATGGAGCTGCTAATGCCTTGGGGCATGGAATTGGGGCAATTTTGATTTCTCCAGAAGAACAATACTACCCTGTAACAGCGAGGTTAAATTTCAATTGCACAAATAACATCGCTGAGTATGAGGTATGTGTCATGGGCCTACAAGCTGCTATGGATAGAAGAGTGAAAGTACTGAAAGTGTTTGGAGACTCAGCTCTAGTCATATATCAGTTGAAAGAGAATGGGAGACGAGAGACTCAAAACTCATTCCATACCATAAGTATATTCTAGAGCTGACAAAGTAATTTGAAGATGTCCAGTTTGATCACCTACCTTGAGAAGAGAATGTGATTGCTGATGCATTGGCTACT